TTAAGGCAGCACCATATACATACAGAGATAATGATGTTCACTATTTATCAGTACAATCCTAAGATCACAAATATGATCCTATATCTTGCTTATTTAGAAATCAATAATTATAAAAAAGCTATAATAACAAATTAGGACAAATCAAAAGGGTGGTTTAATGGGAAACTAAAGGCTCTGAAACACTAACATTGTTTTTATAAAAAAATTTTGAAATTCCCCTTAAGACAATTCTTTCATAGTAGAAAATCCTTATAATGTGTCTCCATTTAACACACTGAAGAAACAAAATCAGACACAAGTCTCCTAAAAGATAATTAGGGACTGTGCGTTGTGACACAGCACATTAATCTACTGCTTATGGAGTTTATGGCTCCTGGTTTCCACTCGCAGACTGCAGCACTTGGGGAAATATCCAGTGGATGGGATCATGCGCCCACATTCACACTCTGATTTTCTACATAAATGAAGGAGAGGAGGAAGTGGGGGCGTGAGGGGAGCATTCTTCGGAGTGTGGACCTGAGGCACAGCAACTCCTGAACTGTATCTTCGAATACTGATTAATACCCAGCATTCTGGCTTACTCACAGCCAAGGGAATAAGAAGCTAGGTTACGAATTCATAATTTTGTTTTGCATCTTACCTGCTGTGTGTGATATTAGGCAAATTATCATTTTTAACTGTGGTTCCTATTCTGTAAACCGCATAGGAGACTTACATATACAAGACCCGCTCCACAGCATTGTATGAGGATTAAATGGTACAAAAAGCATTGTGCACATGTCAAGCCCCAAGCAGAAACACAGAACAATGCATTTTGTTTGCCGTTTCCATAGTCAAGAATGGCGGTTGATCTGAGTTACACAGGAGTACAGATAATCACATGAGCTACTGATTGTGATCACACGGAGGGAAATATAATTAATACAATGTTACTGTTCTACCAGCAATAAATGAACATGTACTATTTGCCTGCTAAATTATATAAATTACACAGCAGGAATTTGACTAAATATCAAGTGATATTTCCTCCCATAAAAGGACTATACATTGTTTCACACATTCACTTTCATTACTTTATAAAAACTCACTGTACATATATCAAAATTCAATGGGATCTCAAGAAAAACATAGGGCTGGTGTCGTGGAGCAGTATGCTGAGCTGCCTCCTGAAATGCCAGCAGCCCAGATCAGCACATTCCACTTTTGATCCAGCTTCTTGCTAAAGTACTTAGGGAAGAAGTGGAGGACAGCTCAACTACAGGAGTCTCTGCCATCCATGCAGGAGATTCGGATGGAGTTCTAGGTTCCTGGTTTTGTGGCCAATATCCTTTCTTCAAATAAGTAAATCTTTCAGCAAGAAAGAGTAAGGAACAGTAGTAGTCTGCTATATAGGTAATAAATTCTATTTTGGGAAAAACAATTTAAACCTTTCTTTAAATATACAACACTTAATCTGAATCTTTTAAATGAAACTCTCCATTGGAGAAGAAAAAAATCCTAGTAGGCAATTGCATGAAATGTCATGGTTACAGTCAAGCAAAGGGATTTGTAATTTGTGGATACAATCCATAAATCCCAGAGAAAGCAACATAAGCTACCAACAATTCCCTAGGAGTCTCCTGGCAGGAAAAGAGACTAGGATAGTCTCTATCTTGATAGATTGATTGATTGATTGATTGATTGATGAAGTATTTTAAGAAATCAGTATAATGCACAATTCCAGTTAAAAAAAAAAAAAAAAGTGGGGCCCGGCGCGGTGGCGCAAATGGTTAAGTCCTCGCCTTGCACGCCCGGGATCCCATATGGGCGCCGGTTCTAATCCCGGCAGCCCCGCTTCCCTTCCAGCTCCCTGCCTGTGGCCCGGGAAAGCAGTCGAGGACGGCCCAAGGCTTTGGGACCCTGCACCCACGTGGGAGACCCAGAAGAGGCTCCTTGCTTCGGATCGGCATAGTATCGGCCCGTTGCGGCTCACTTGGGGAGTGAATCATCGGACGGAAGATCTTCCTCTCTGTATCTCCTCTCTGTATATCCGCCTTTCCAATAAAAAATAATAAAAATAAATCTTTAAAAAAAAAAAAGTGGAGGGTAAAATTACATATACAGCCAAAATAAAAAAATCACCGTCTTTCAACGTTATAGAAAAGTAAAGAGTTGAATTTCTGACAGAGAAATAATTTTTGAAAGTGACATAATATATTCTTTTTCAATAACACTATAAACACCAAATATACAATAGCTCATTAAACATAATCATGGGGCTGCTGCTGTGGTGTAGCCGGTTAAACCTTTGCCTATGGTGCTGGCATCTCACATGGGCATGCATTTGTGTCCCAGCTACTTCACCTCTGATCCCTGTTTATGGCTTGGGAAAACAGCAAAAGATGGTCCAAGTTCTTGGGCCACTGCATAAACAAGGGAGACCCAGAAGAAGTTCAGGACTCATGATTTCACACTGGCCCACCGCTGGCCATTGTGCCATTTGATGAGTGAACCAGCACATGGAAGACCTTTTTCTCTCTCTGTAAATCTGCCTTTCAAACATAAATAAATAAATATTTTTTTTAAATCCATCTATTGCAATGAGTGATGGTACTGTTATGATTCTACCAAAGGAATCATACTTTAAAAATAACACTTATTAAATTATGGACTTTAAAATGAGCTATTTGACGTTAACAGTAATGCTGCTGAGGTGATAATTTCAAAAGAAAGCAACCTCTTCATTTTTTTAAGCAAGATGCAACAAAATACTTATAGACAGAATGATGTCTAGGAAGATCTCGGAAACAACACAGAGATAGTTCCTCAGGTTCGTGTTTCTAAAACAGGATTCACTTTCCAAAGATAATGTCCCCAGTAAGATGGAGAGCAACGCTACTGTAGAGAGCCTTGCAGACAGGAACCCCTCTCTTAGTACCACCACCTTACTATCTCCACCTGCGGTTTCGAGAGACCGTCATTGAGCAGCATGCCATTTTTTTCTTCTATCAATGATTTTGATGTAATATCTGAACTTGAAGCTGCAACTGGGGAAATAGAATATTTGCCTTACCAATCCTGCAGCTAGCTACACTAGATACAAACTCTACTCATGCCTTCACATTAGTACCTACTTAAGAATCGGTCCAGCAAATACAGAAGGTAATCCTAGTATTAGGAGAATGTGTGGATGTCTCCTGAAACACCTTCCCTCACAGTAACAATATGCATGCTCAAGTACAGAACTACAGGCAGAAGTTCCCTACATTATGGCATCACTGACAACACGTTTGATCAGCTTACTCAGAGATACCTTCCTTCCACATTCGTTAAGGCATCTGCACTGGATGAATCTGATGAAATGTTAGACTATATAGATCTACAAGCTCAACAACACCACATGGATTGTTATCAGGTACAATGCTTTATGATGTGTCCGAAGCAACTAAGAAGCTCATGAGGGACCCTATTCAGATGCTTGCCACAAAACAGGGCGTCTTTCAATTCCTCATGAAAGCAGATGGAGCGGGATGGTGAAGACACACTGTGTGCCCTATACGAAACCACAAACATATGCAAGGCTATCATTTTCACCAACACCACAAGGGATACTAACTGCATACTGAGAGGATATAAGCATGACACTTCACTATTGTTGGCATCTATTTGACCAAAATGAACAAAATATGATCACAAAAAAGTCCCATTCTGGCTATCCCAGAGTACTGATCTGCTGGCCAGAGCCACTTACGTGTTCATCTACTATGGCTTTCCTATCATTAGCGTAAACCATCCATAGAATCAGATTATGATAAACATTTTTTCCCAAGGCTTTGGCTATAATTATGGCAGCAACCAAGAAAATTCTTCAAAACATGGAGACTGTAACAGCTGCACAGAAGAGATGCCCCTGAGTGTTGCTGAATTCGCCTTTGACACTGGTCCCGCAGCATGTCCTAGCTATGGCACAACCTAGGGGCAGGGCTTGGGGAGTCAAGGACAGGACAGAAGCATTGGGGGTACAGATGCGACATCTTTTTCTTTTGCTTGAAGAAACATCACTTTTGACATAAAGAAACTATATACATTTTAAAAGTTCTTTTATTTGGAATAAGCTCTCTTCTCCGATGCCATCTCATCCTCAGTTATCTACATTCCTGCGACTCCCAAAGTAAATCAGTCAGATTCTGTGGCAAATGATTCAAAAAGCCAAACTATGTCCTACAACATAAGTTCTACATCAAAACCAGAGGGAGAAAAACTGAGTTGGGGAGAAAAAAATTGACAGCAAGCACAAAATTCTGAACAAAATGATTTGGAAATTGCAAGAAATGAGGAGGGAGTGGGATTTAGGAAGAAAAAAGTGAGGAGAGTCAAGAGATGAATTTACCACGACTTGAAAACTGCTGAAGCAAGGTCACGGGTATTTAAAGGATTCATCACACCATACCACCGAGAAAAGGGAACTAAAATTTTCTATAAAAATCTTTTACAAAACAGGAAATAAACTTGATAACTGCTGATTACACCATAAAAAGTGTAAATAGTGCAAGTCTTAATTTGACACAATAACATACTATCCTCGAAAGCTTAGGCATGCTTAATTGTTGACCGATGTTCCCAAAAATAGGATTACTTTGAGCTTCTTTACACCTCCCAAACACATGAGAATGTCTTCTGAGATGAGATTAAACCTTGACCAGCACTAAATACACTTTAGGAAGCTTACAAGCATAAAACAAACAAGCAAAACTGAATACCACCTGAAACAGTCTAACAAACTATATTCCATCAATGTGTTTCACCTCTTGCATCACTTCACATCATTAACTACAGATATTTCAAAAACACAGATTCTTCTGATTACTGTCAAGCTAATTTACAGTTCCCAAAAATCTCTAACGTGTTACTGAAATTTTAAAACATTAACAGCAGTATTATTAGAATTAACAAGCAACTCATAGCATGCCCATTTACACAGTAACTATGAAAGAAATAAGCAAGACAAGCATAATACATACTGGAGGCCGGCCAGGACGACCCCTTTTCCTTTTTCCTTTGATCTCTGTTTCTTCAAGTTCGCTACCAGCATCAGAATGGGCAGTAGTTTCGTTAGTTGAATCCCTAGAAAATGTTATATTTGGTGGTGAGTGAAAAAAAATAAATAAAATGCAATTCTGTCTCACTAGTTTCCTTACCTCCTGCTAATGACTGATCAGAAGGGGTTTATACAAGTACTTGTTCTTTTATAAAACAATTCAATAACCAAAAATGTTATCTCCCTGCTGAATATCCCTGCCTAACACTCAATGAAATGACTCCCCAAATAAAGAGGAGGAAATGATTGTTGAAATAGCAGCTGTAATCACATCTCGGCCTTTTGGCTAAGAGCAAGTGAAATAGAAGCTGTACAAAATACAAATGAAAATACAATTGCAAAAGATTAAGTTATTGGTTAAAAAGACAAGCTTAGGAGGAATTCCAGGAATAATAAAAATTAGTGATTGCTGGCAAATGTTTACAAACTGGCTCCTCAAAAGAATATATACACACGGATTATCTGGCAAATTCCATTCAGTTATTGTTTCCTCACAGAATACTTTCCATCATTTTTGTCCAATTTTAAAAAATTCATTGGGCCCGACATGATGGCCTAGCACCTCATGTGCCAGGATCCCATGCTGGGTTCTAACCCCGCAGCCCCACTTCCCTTCCAGCTCCCTGCTCGTGGCCTGGGAAAGCAGTCGAGGATGACCCAAAGCCTTGGGACCTTGCACTGCGTGGGAGACCCAGGGGAAATTTCTGGCTCCTGGCTTTGGATCACACAGCTCTGGCCATTGTGGTCACTTAGAGAAGAAGATCTTTCTCCATCTCCTCCTCTCTGTATATCTGACTTTGCAATATAAAAATAAAATAAATCTTTTAAAAATTTATTTACTTGAAAGGTAGAGTGATAGGAAGACAGAAAGAGAAGGACAGGGTGGAGGGGTGCTGGGGAGCCCCACAGATCTTCCACTTACTGCTTCACTCCCCAAACAGTAGCAGATCGAGGAACCTAGGACGCCATCCTGGCCTCACACACTGGTACAGGAGCCATCCATCATGATCCTTCTAAAAGCACATTAGCACTGAACTAAATCAGAAGTGAAACAACCAGCAGGGACTCACATTGGCAATCTGATAGGAGATGCTGGTATCTAAATTGGTGGCAAAATCCCCTACACTACAATGCTAACCCTTTCCCAAACTCTGCCATCTGGTTCTTACCTATGGTTGTAAATGATAAATCAGTAGTTTTTCAATGAAAGATAGATAGCTGCTATTTTTGTTTAAGAAACAGGGTATAATTCAAATTGTTTATATAATTATAATTGGTTTTGGAGAATTCACTGACTAGTCAATGATGTAAGTTGTCTACATAAGTAGTACTTCTCAAATAGTGAAAAATTACTTCCTTGTGTCTCTCTCACTCATTTTTTCTATTGTATGTCACCCCCTCTCCAACCTTGATGCTGCTGCTGTGGGCAGCATTAAATTCTACAAAGGAACAATGAAAAACCCAAAACCTGTAATCATCTTGCAGCGGGTTGCGCATCAACACCCTACATTACAGTGGCAGCTGAGTCCCAGCTCCCCAGCTTATGACCCAGCTCTCTGCTGATGTGCCAGGGAGAGAGAGCAGTATTTGGGCCCATGCCACTCACACGGCAGAGCTAGATGAGGTTACAGGCTTCTAGTTTCAGTCAAGACCAGCCCTGGCTATTGCTTGCAGTTGAAGAATGCATCAGTAAACAGAAAATCTCAATCTCTTTTTCAAATAAATAAAATAAAACTTAAACATCTGAAAACCTGAAAACACCGTTCAATCATACATCAAAACGTGGCTTAGTCCGGTTACTACCTGAACTCTCTACAGCCACATCAGGATCCTTGAACAGAATACTATGCTTTGCATTTATCATAATCACACACACACAAAAAGAATGCTTTTGATGCTTGCAAACAACCAGGAAACTATACAAGCAAGTTGGTTCCTGTATACAAAAGATCCATTAATGAAACTAATCTATGCTTCAGTAATACAGTGTATTGACAAGAAAACTATCAAGCACTATTTGTTAAATAACTCTTACAACTATGGAGGGAAAATTGCTGCCAATAAATATCTAATGCACTTCTGCAGAAACAGATGTATTTATCTGAACCGACGGTCATAAATACATTTCAGGTTTTTAAAGAATTTCTAACATTGGAAAAGAGAATACAAAGTTTTATTTCACTTCACTCTAATTCCAAAATGTGTAATCTACAGATTTTTTCATGTTAACAATTTAATATTTTACCACAAATACTACTCAGTATCCAGTCATACTATAATTTACATTATATTATTATTTTTTTTAAAAAGCATAGTTCAACAGTAAGTACTATGCCATCAATAACCAAATCAATATAACTTCTTTAAATATAACCTCAACTGAACTACAACCTCTATTTGTCTTATATTTTATCAAAGAACAGTTTATTGTGGGTCTGTTAAATATGCAGCAGTGTGCTGGAGCAGGCAACACAGGACACCATGAGGAAGTGGGTCCGAAACAAGAACAACGGGCTATCAAACATTTTGTTGGAATGAACATTCAGCCTAGCAGGTAAAATGGCCCATCACAGTGCATGAGTACAATTCTGGGCTCCAGGTTCACACTGCTGTGGCCAACGGAATACAGCAGTGAAAGCTCACTGAAGGCACAGGGCTCCTGCCACCCAGATGGGAGGCCTTAACTGGGCTTCTGGCTCCTGGGCTCGCTCTTGCATGCAGTTAGACAATGAACCAGCAGAGGGGGAGCCAGAAGACCAATATAAAATCTTTATCTTACAAAAAGACATGAAAACTAACCAGGGCAGTAATAATACAAATAATAATTTGATGATTTTTTATTATCTAAACCATTATTATCATAGAGAAACAAGTATGTAGATTACTGATTTGCATGATAAAAAAGTTATGAAGGAATAGTATCCAAAATTACTGTGCTCACATGTCCCAGAGAATGCAAAATAAAACAAAACTCCAACACCAACAAATCTAGCGATATGTCACAAAACTTCTCACTGGTCCTTTAGATTACTTCAAATAACCATAACGGCTCAACAATCAACTTCAAGTAAAAGGACAGATCAATGAAAAAATAAGGGCAAGGAGATGACAGTGAAAATATGATACAGACTGCGGGTTGACAAATTTTTTCTTATAAATGGAGAGACTAAATAATTTAGGCTTCCCAGGTAACACAGCTGCTATCACAATATGCAATGCAAAGCAGCTGCGAACATTCAACACAGAAATGAGGGTGGCTCTGATCTAAATAAAACTGTATTTACAGAAATAAGTGGCATGCCTGATTTGGTCCATGAGCCATAATTGCTGACACATGAAACAGAACATTAATGTTTTCTATTGACTAGGAGAATATTTTAACCAAGATCATGAAAAATAGCACTGCAATATATATATATATAGACACATATATATATATATTCATATTCATGCTGGCTTTAAAAATATACTAAAATTCATGACTAGTGTATTCATGGCACAAACATTCCATGAATTTTTGAAGGCCTCTCATATAAGAGAAGCAGCTGACATTCCAACAGCTAGGGCCACGGATGGATAAAATAATTACATACTATACTCATGAGTTTATCAAACGCATTGCCCAAATGTGCTATACAAATTTTCCCTTAAAAAAAAAAAAAAACTACAATACTTACTGTAACACTGGCAACTCTGAGGTAATCATTGCTGGAGAGGTTGTTCCACGATGCAGGAAAATTCTTAAGTGCTGTACAACGGAAAACTACTGAAACAACCTCAAGGCGATCCTTAAAAAGAAAAACAAAAACAATTATATTAAAATAAAGTTGGATATTCACAATACATAGACAATACACAGACAACACAATTGATCAGTTTTATCAGGAATTGCACTATTTAGTACTTAAAGACTGAAAATCTAGCCATACAAAAATCTACAGTATGATTCTACTACATCTTTATTCACAAATGTCAAAATCTGGGGCAGCACTCAAGGTGTACTTTAGTGTATCAAGGGAAACACTGTGGTACATTTAAACAACAAATGGCATTCGGTTTTAAAAAGAAATGAGGAAATGGTGTTGGGACATTCATGGGTAAAGCCACCATGGCAACACCAGCATCCCACAGAAACACAGGCTGTGGTAGGACTGGTCCACGTGTAGCTCCCCTGCTCAGATCTCCAGGACAAGCACAGAGGAAGGCCCAAGTTGTGGCTCCTGTGATCCATGTGGGAGAAACAAATGCAAGCTCTTGCCTCCTGGATCCGGTCTGGCCTCTGGCCACTGCAGAAATTTGGGGGAGTGAACCAGTGCATGGAAGACCAGTCTCTTCTCTGCCTCTCCCTCTCTGCCTCTGTAATTCTTCCAGGACAATATAAAACAATTTTTAATTTTTTTTTTAATTTGAAGTTTTTAAGCCATAAAAGATTAAGAAAACCCTTTAATGCATATATCAAGTGAAAACATACAATCTGAAAGGGACACACACACACACACACACCCTGGAGAATGCAAAAGGAGGACACAGAAAGATCAGAAGACATTGCAAATTAGGTGGGCAGGGAAAAGAATGATCAGTTCCACCACAAACAATTCTGAAGGAAGTGAAATCATCCCACAGGATCTATGAGCTGTGTAACAGTACAAGATACAAATGTCCAAGCCCACCAAATTTCTAATGCCAACAGTGAATCCTAACACAGAATATCCTCTTTGGGTGGTAATGAAACATCAATAAGTTTATAACATACATATGGGATCCCAGCACATGCAAGTCAAGAACTTTAGCCACTATGGTACCACACTAGGCTCCCAAATAAAGAAATCTTTAATTAATAAACAAACAAACATATATTCACAGGCAGAGAGGGAGAACGGAAAAAGGGGAGGAAATCCCATTGGCAATGGATGCCCTAAATTCCTTTGACATCCAGGGCTGGGCTAAGGCCCACAGCAAGGAACTCCATCAATGTCTCCCACATGTTTGTCGGGGACCCAACTACACAGTTCCACCTATGTTGACTGGAAGCTGAAGATGTTAGCTGAACTGAGCTGCTCTTAAACAGGACAGCAACATCTAAATTATTACGTGACACTTTAATTCTTAGTAATTAACTTATGAAAGAAAAACAAGGATATTACTGCTATGTATTTCCTCCTCTCATTTCGAGCCAATATGGTCCAATATCTGAAGACTAAAACTGTAACTACTCAATTAATAATAAAATTGCACTTACAACTATTTGCATAACTCACAGTTCCATAGATCAGTACCATGCAACAAATAAACTTTTAACAAGTTCTTGCTGGGTGAAAAAATGAAACCATCTGATAAAATCAACAATATTATTCACCTATAAAGACCCCAAAATATTTAATCCTAGTAAGAAAATTGCTAACCCCAAGAACTTGCAAAGTTAGAGGCTACCACAATGCCTGCATGTGCTGTGTTTTCACACAGTACCTTCCTCCCTGTGTCTGTTTTCTTAGTACCATGATGCTGGGTTAAAGTTCACACTAACCGGAAAGTGACTTCACGTTAGCTACATAAAAGCACTGTTTACAAACTACTTGTTGAACGAATGTTTGGAAATACATTTACAGAGCAATTCCTATACGTCAGGTACCTTTCTGGAGTTAAAAACAGAATGGCAAATTTGATTAAATCCCTGTATTTAAAGACTGTTCTTTCAAGCTTAGAAAATTGACAATATAGAAAGAGCTAAACATGACAATTTCCGATGATGTGAAATGTTAAGAGATAATAAAATTCCTTTTAAAGAAATGATTTTAGGTTTTCTAAGGAGATGCCATCTGAGTAAAGACCGGATGGATGTGTAAAACAAGTGCCAAGGTAGGAAATTCAAACAGAATGACAATTACTGACAAAAACTGAGGTATTGTCTTACTCAACTAGCAGGGACATGTGGCAAAAATACTGTTTACAACTTATTAGGCATTCTAATTTTGAAGCTGTCTTTCTGTTTTAGCTTCTCTTATTTTAGGGGGGAAAATTAGTCATCAATGCTAGCTCACTACTCAAATTCAAGTTTCCCAAATAGTGGAAGGAACTCAGACACGGAGTCCTCATTAGCGTCACCAATGGATCCACATTAGCAGGAAGCTGCAGTCAGGGGTTAGAAAACTGAGCAGCACATCCAGGTCCTCTGGGATTAGACACAAGCATCTGAACTAGCCATTTTTTTAAAAGATTGATTCATGTACTTATTTATTTATTTGTTCAATTTAAAGGCAGATTGAGAGTGGTCTTCCATCTGCTGTCTCACTACCCAAATGATCGCAACAGCCAGAGTTGAGCTGATCAGAAACCAGGGACGAGGAGTTTCTTCCTGGTCTCCCACCTGGATACCGAGGCCAATGGACCTAGCCCTAGGTATAAGCAAAAAGCTGGATAAACAGTGGAGTAGCTAGGACACAAACCAGTACTGATATGGCATGCTGGTTCTAGCAGGCAGAAATTTAGCCTGCAACACCACTGCAATTGCCCTCAACTAGTCTTAACTGTTAGACCAAATGCCCACCCCATATCAGTCTTTAAAAAATTTTTATGCATCACATGGCACAGGCTTAGCCTACTGGTTAAGATACCAGTTATAGAACTCAATTCCATGTTCCTGATCTTGGACAGCCTGGGAGGCAGAGGTGACAGCTCCAATAGTTGGGTCCTCACAGTCCACATGGAGATTACATTGAATTTCCACCTCCAATCTTCGGCCAGAAGAGTTCTACCCTAGCAGGTACTTAGGGAGGGAACACAACTGGAGGTATCTCTCTCACACACACTAACTCTACGTCTCTCAAATAATTTTTTAATCAACCTTTTTTATGTTATATTACTTCAATATGAGATGGTTTAAACTTGTGTACTTCACTATCAAGTGAGTATTTCCTTATCTCAAAACTGGAGTTCTAAGGAAACAGTGAAACAGAACATTAATTTTAATTTAGACACCGCTCCGCAGAGCAGGAACTGTGGTGAAGTGGGTAGCCACCACCTGCACTGCCCGTATCCTACTTGGGCACACATTCAAGTGTGCGACTGCGCCACTTCCATCATAGCTGAGGGCTGAAAAAGCAGCAAAGGATGGCCCGAGATGGGTTCCTGCATACAAACGGAAACCCATAAGAGCCCCTTGGCTCCTGCTCAATCCTGCTCCAGCCGCTGCAACCACCTGGGGAGTGATCCAACAGCCCACAACCTCTCTCTTTCTCTCTCCCTTTTCTCTTTTTCTCCCCTCTTTCAAGTAAAAACACACAAATCTTTAAAGAGGAAAAAATCTTTTTAAAAGACAATGTACTTTATGAATAGGAAAGCAGTAATTATTATATGTTGACTGTAAATACTACAACCCCCAATTTTGAGAAAAAATAAACTTTATTCAAATCTTTAAAATGGACTAAGGTATTCCCCAAGTTTTAAGAATACCACGGACTTGGGCTGAACTAGGCTTCAATGCTCATTGACAAGTATGAGAGCTAAATGGGATGTGGGACAGGCTGAACAAGCCTGCGGTACATACAGGCATGCACGGGAACCAGAGTAGGGAGCAGGCCTGCTGGGGGTGTGGGCAGCGCCCGACTGGGCTGCAGCTCCCACTGGTTTGCGTGAGGACCGAGTATGAAGTCAGATAACTGGTATATTACTTTTGGTCCAAAACACTAAAACATATTAAACGGCCAATCAGAATGATATAAAGACTTTCCTTACCTCACTGCTCTGGAAATACACTTCCATCTTCCCAATTCCAAAATAACTATAAAGGATATTATAGGAGAGGCTGGGATTTAGGACAGTGGTTTTAATGAAAAGAATGAGTCTATAAGGGCTTTTTGGCTCCTAATCTGCATTTTTCTCCAGCTATTTCTTTCCTCAGGCTCTGTATTGGTGCAACAGTGTTTCAAGATCTCTACTCCCACTGCTTCTGCACTTGATTCTTCATCTCCGTTTTCACCTATGCCCCATCACCCTTCCTTTTCTTTTTTTTCTGGATCTGAGTATTTCAATGTCACATTCACACTGAATAAAATGGTAATTTTTTCAGAAGCATTCTGAATTACTTTCTATGCTATTCATAGCACCTATTTCTCAAAATGTCTACACATGAATATTTTGAGCTTTATAGGTCAGTTTGGGACATCTTTGTATACGAATTATTAACTAAACTATCTAAAACTAGACTATTCTTCGCCACTCCAAATTCAGTTAGCCAGTGTCTCTCTGAAAGCACCCTCCCCCTCTTCTTGCATGCCATCTTCTAACCCTCCCCCCACTGATCCAACAAACCGCCTCATGACATCTGAATAGGGATCAGGTATCTCCCTAACAAATATGTCCTATTATGAGGAGTAATGTCCATCTACACTCAAATTCAAGATTCCTGGATATCTTTCCGCCAATGACTATTCACACAGCCCTTGTTTTTTTGTTTGTTTGTTTCGGAAGGCTGACATTTTTTTTAAATATATACATTTTTTAATTAATTACATTGCATTATGTGTCACAGTTTCATAGGCTCTGGGAATCTCCCAACCCCTCCCTGTGCCCTCCCCCCATGGTGGATTCCTCTACCTTGTTGCTGTATTACATTTCAAATTCAGTCAAGATTCTTTCATTGCAACAGTATATTAAGCATAGAGTCCAGCATCTTATTGTCCAGGTAAATTCTACAGTTTCTTGGGGAGACCACCTCTGGTCTGAAGGCAGAGTTGGCAGAATATTATCCCGATCAATTTAAAGCCACAACATAACATCAACAACAATTTAC